TTTTTTTTTTTTTGAGACGTGGCAAAAGAGAGAGTTGAGGTGATTGGAAATAGAAAAAAAAAAATCTCAAATAGAGATTGAACAAGTAATGCTTGATTTGATTTTCTTTCTTATGACTTTTTATTTGTCCAAATGTCATTTCGATTCTTTCGTTACTATTTGAATTTCATAAAAAGCGGATCCGCATGGATCCATTCAATAGTTGATTAATGGTGTGACATAAATTAAGTTTTCTTGCTCATGTTCCAGATATGATATATATATATATATACTAATCATAATCTGTGACTGAAGGCACGATAAAATATAAAATTAAATATATGATAAAAATGAGTGGTGTGATATTTTTAGGGAAGAAATATATAAATGATTAAATATGTGATAAAAATGAGTGATCTGATTTAACGTTTGAATCTGACAAAAGGATGATGAGTGAGGTAAGTGATTGATGATAATTTTGAGGGAAAAAATATGACTGAGATAAAATTTAAACACACTTCTGTTTTATTATATATATATATATATAGAGAGAGAGAGAGAGCTAAGAGATTAGGTAATGAAATTATGTTGACATTCAATATAATTTGCTAAAATTCATTTCAATGGAGTTTTTGATTCCAACCCAATACTGATTTTCAAATGAAATTTTCAATTTCTAACGAATCAAAAATGTTGATAGAATTCATCTTATATCCAAATGGATTTTAGGGTAGAGATTTAAACTCAATTCGAGTCTGAACGAAATTCAATTACAAGTCTAGTTAGAACTAGGGTTGTTAAACAAGTTAAAATTTTTGAACTTAAACTCGAGTTTGTCGAGTTTGGTTTTTTAAACGAATTTAAAAAATTGTTCAAGTTTGACTTGTTCAAAAAATAAGTCGAGCTTGAGCTGAACCCGAACAGTTAGACTATTTTGCGAGTTCTAGTCGAATTTTTTTAGGCTCGTTTTTTGAGATAAACTTAAAAAAATTTTCAAACTTGGTTCGTTTAAAATACCAATTAAGTGGGAGTCGGGCCCTACCCAACTGAACCCTCGGTTAACATCCCTAGTTGGAACAACTTTTCTTTACCCAGAAAAAACTGCCCCAATCCCCAATCCATCTCCAAATCCAGTTAATCTAGATTAGGACAGGCAAAGTTAAAACCTTACGTTTGTTTGACAGTAAGACCAATTTAATGAGAATCTGACTGAGCATCTATGAAGCAAACTGGATTCTTTTTAAGTTAAACATTCCTAAGTCAAACATTCCCAGGTCATCTTATGTCTATATAAAGCAGAAGAAGAAGAAGAAGAAATTTGAAGCAGATGTCCTTTTATTAAATCCATAAATACGATACGATAGCAGTTGGTTGGTAGGATCATGTCATGTGTACCCCGAAAACTACGCAGAAACTTTTTAAAAGTCTCTGGAAAATTTGATGATAAATCTGGCAAAATGAAAATGAATTTGATTCTCCATACCTTGTTGCATTATTCATTGTTAAAGAAAACCCAAAGATTTTTAGAAATTAAAATGAATCACCGTCTTAATAATACATTGAACAATAACATGAATCTAGAAGTTTTTTCTTCAGGTTCAACGATTGGGGTGTCTGATTCAGTTTATACACACTTTGACTAATTTTCTCTCTGATTTAGTTAAAGACAGGTTATATATATCATAACTAAGGTATTTATGAGAGATAAATTTCTCATGATTTGACTAAGGTATTTATGAAAGATAAATTTCTCATGACTTGATTTAAAAGAGTTGTCAATATTCAAATTCAAGATATCTGAATTTATAATTCGTCTTTATTACCACTTGAACTACCTAGTGAAATTAAAATTGTCCTTTCATATCCACTCCCGGAGCTCACCACTCATTATCATTATTTTCAAAGTTACATTGACTATATTATTATCATTGAATTTAAACGTTAATTTTGTTAACAATTTGCCTAGTATTTATGTTTAATCACTTTTGATCAATCACTAATCACTTACTCTGACAGAGTAAAGGTTAGTGAAGACATTTTAAACTACTCACATACTCAAAAGCTATCTGATGTGGAATAGTCCCAACCCCCACCACCACTTATCACGAAGAGGAGGGAAGCCGAGTCCTACCACCAAAAGCCTCATACGCATTTTTTCATTTCTTTTTAACAATCACTAATCACTTACTCTAACAGAGTAAGGGTCAATGAAGACATTTTAAACTACTCACACACCCAAAGGCTATCCGATGTGGGACAACCCCAATCATTTTACTATTTTATATATATCAACTAAATTTTAATTTTTTTCGATTTTTAACGATAAGTTTTGAATTTATAACAAACTTTTGCAATATTTACAAAACTTATTGTGGGTCAAGCTTTCCCCACAAAATTTATTCCACCTGTTAATAACAAGTACATCAAAATGACCCAAAGAAAAGAGAAGATAGTAATAATGACGTGTCATTAACTGAAGAATTACCAAATGTCAATATCTTATTGGCTACTTTTGAAAGTCAAATCTTTCGTTTCGGGGAGGTTTAGGGTTCCTAGGCACGACCCCACCGGATTCTCAACGGCACGTCGATTTGCTCTCCAACAGAAAACGTGTGGGTCAGTGTGTGAAAATCACCACAGCTCACAGACCCCATAGATCAGCCGTTTTTCAACCTTCTGCCAAAATCAACGGTGCTAAACGTGTCGGTGTTATAACAACGATGACCAACCTGTGCAGCAAGGATAATTCGAAGAAAGTTCACGAAAAGAAGAGGACAAAAATCTGCTGCAACACCAGCTGCTATAAAGTTATTACACAACAACCAGTACATGCCACGTAGGCCATTAAATTCTAGGAGAATTTTATTTTGTTGCCTGGACGTCGTTATAAATTAAATACTATTATGTAACCAAAATTTGTAATTTAAATTTATATTCTAAATTAAGGAGGATCATTGGATCAGTGAATCTTATTAATTTTTTTAAATAAGATCCACTGATCCAATAGTTCTCCTTAATTTAGAATACAAATTTGNCAACCAGTACATGCCACGTAGGCCATTAAATTCTAGGAGAATTTTATTTTGTTGCCTTGACGTCGTTATAAATTAAATACTATTATGTAACCAAAATTTGTAATCTAAATTTATATTTTAAATTAAAGAGGATCATTGAATCAGTGAATTTTATTAAATAAGACCCACTGATCCAATATTCCTCCTTAATTTAGAATACAAATTTAGATTATAAATTTGAGATNTTCCTCCTTAATTTAGAATACAAATTTGGATTATAAATTTGAGATATATATTATTATTCTTATAAAATTATAATTTTTATAATAAATTGTGGTCGATTTTAAAAATTAAATATATGATCACAAAAATTATAAATTTCTTTATATAAAAATCTAAAATTTTATATAAAAATTCGTAAAAAGTATAAAATCTAATGAATAAGACCAAGGCCAAAAACAGAGTGCGATTTGACTTGCTACCTAATTACGTGACGTGTCAATCATAGATGGAAGCCGTACGACAAGTTTTTACAGCTGACTATCACCACAAAAAAACCCAAAATATAAGAAGAAATGAAAAAATAAAGGAAAAATATATAAATGTCTCAGCTGTATGTTTTGTCCTGAAGAAATTGGAGAACTTCTGCAACTCTCTCGTCTCATTCTCTGTTTTGGGTTCTGTTTTCCCTGTAGCTGGAGAGAGAGAGAGAGACATACATAGAGAGACACTAATATACGTGTTTGGAGAGAGAAATATACAGAGAGCCAAGGCATGGGTTGTTTTCCTTGCTCTGGAGATCCATCAATCAAAAAACCAGAAAAGAAGAGGAACGACAACAACAATAACAACAACACGAATCACAATAAAAGAGATGATCAAATACAACCCACCACAGGTATGAACTTTAGAAATCTTTTGATCTTTAGATATTTCACAAATTGTCAAGTGCATTCGATCGATGTCATATGGGTATAAAAATAAATTGGGTTTTTCGAGATTAATTTTGTTGTATATTCTTGAATGTGGGTTTGTGGTTAACTGATCAGATTTTTTTTTGGTGGATGACCTTGTTTGTTACACATGCAAATTTGAAATGGCACTTGTTTCGAAATTCAGGTTTTTGATTTGGATGCTCCTATTTTTGTTGTCTTCTTCTTCTTCTTCTTTTTTTTTTTTGGGAGTTTCAAAGGATTTCTTACTAGATGTATTTAAAATTCTATTTTTATGGTGGTATTTTAATTTTGATATCAAAATTTTCGTCATATGGGTTCCCCCCAATTTCTTCCCTCATCTTTGGTTCAGTATCAAGGAAAAATTTATCTTTGATGTGGACTGTGAAGTGAACGATTACGGAGACACTAAATGTTGGGGTGTGTGTGTGTGTTCCTGTAGGTCCATGTTTTCTATGGATGTGCTATAAGATGGTTTTTGAAGCAAGGTGTTTTTCTAAGAAGTGATTAGTCTGTCATCAGTTTCAGGAGTTATTGTATTCTTCTTTACGGATGGTTTGGATGGTGGTGAATGACGCTATGCTGCAGCCATAGTATTTTGGGAAAATTTAGCTAAAAATCATTTTCTTATGTGCTTTGGTAGTTTATTTTTCTTATTTCCAAGGTTCTTTGTTTGCTTTAAGATTTCAATAATTGTGGATTCTTCATACCCTTTTTGTTAGGATCATATTGGAATCGATCTTTTGGCTTTTTGTGACCATGTGCCTTTCTTGTCTTTTTCTCTGTTCTTCAGATGGGCCTGGTCCTCACTCACCCTCATGTTTTTTTGTGTTTTTTGTATAACTGACTTAGATACACTGAAAGTCAGCCCACATAAAGGTGTGAAGGACTCAAAGAATGTTAATCAATCTTTGGCTGCCAAAGAGGTTGATGTGAATAAGAAGTCCTCCACGGATGGAGAACCTGAAGGCGTCAATGCGCGGAAATTTAAATTTGCCGAATTGGTGACTGCAACTGAGAATTTCAAGTCAGATTATTTTTTGGGGGAGGGAGGATTCGGGAAAGTTTATAAAGGAAAATTGGAGGATACTGGTCAGGTTGGTCGAGTTCGTCTGAAACTAACCACATTTGAATAAATTTTTGAAATTGCAAGTAGCCAGAGTTATTTTCGTTTGATCGGTCCTCTTTCTATTTGAGTCGGTGAGCTTTAAGTCTTTGTGCTAAACTGGTGAGAGACCTGATATTGCTTCATTTTTGTGCAGATTGTGGCTATCAAGCAACTTGACCAGAATGGATGCCAAGGAATTAGGGAATTCGTTGTTGAAGTGGTAACATTAAGTATGGCTGACCACGATAATCTTGTTAAATTAATTGGTTATTGTGCTGATGGAGATCAGCGGCTGTTGGTATATGAATACATGCGATTGGGTTCTTTGGAAGACCATCTGCATGGTATATTATGTTCTTAATGCTTGATCTCATTCTGCTATTTTTCTTCCTCCCACCATCGTCATGTTAAGTGTTTACCATGCATGCAATCTTTTGGCAAATCATAAGGTGAAAGCTTTTTTGTGCGTGTGAGCGTGTGTTTGTCAAGGGGGTGCCTATATGACTTCTTTTTTTTTTTTTTTTTTTTCCTTTTCCTTCTCCCTGATTTTGGTTTTCTTTTCATTGAATAGACCTTCGACCTAGTACGAAGAGACTTGACTGGAATACCAGAATGAAGATAGCAGCTGGTGCTGCACAGGGCTTAGAGTATTTGCATGACAAGATGAAACCCCCTGTAATATATCGCGATTTGAAATGCTCTAACATTTTACTGGGGGAGGGGTATCATCCTAAGCTATCTGATTTTGGCTTGGCCAAAGTGGGTCCATCTGGGGAACAGACCCATGTTTCCACCAGGGTGATGGGCACTTATGGGTATTGTGCACCCGACTATGCAATGACTGGCCAGTTGACATTCAAATCAGATATCTACAGCTTTGGGGTTGTTCTTCTGGAGATCATCACTGGTAGGAAAGCAATTGATAATATGAGATCCGCTGCTGAGCAAAATCTGGTTGCATGGGTAAGATTTCTGGTTTCATAATCTCTCCCGCTAGTATCGTTCTTGGTTGAATGATGAATAAGATAGTCTTTGATAGTCTTTAAAAAGGTATGCTGATCAATTTGTCACATGTGAATAGACATGATATCAGCGTCAAAATGGGCATGGTCTATTGAAACACTTGCCTAAACTGCATAGTAGATGGAATTATATGTCCAGTTGCCAGGATAGGATGAGGCGTCTGTTACCAGTCAATAAAAAGGTTCTTCCTTGAAAGGATTGATGTTCACCCACTGCAATCACCTTTTGTTTTTTGGCTCTACTAATTGAACTGACTCGTTGGATTGGAGAATGGGGCCACATAAAGTATCCAATGTTTTGCACCATTATATTATATTTTAGGTGTTAACATCAGCTTATGCCTTTTGCTTTTCTTTATTTTTATTATTTTATTTATTTTTTTTTTTTGGGGGTACTTATATCCCACACCTGTTCTTTGAAAAGTGTACATAGGCACGCCTTAGCATTAGATGAGGCAAGGCGCATCTAANTATTTTAGGTGTTAACATCAGCTTATGCCTTTTGCTTTTCTTTATTTTTATTATTTTTTGTATTTTCTTTTTTGGGGTACTTATATCCCACACCTGTTCTTTGAAAAGTGTACATAGGCACACCTTAGCATTAGATGAGGCAAGGCGCATCTATAGTGCCTCAATCAGCCTGAGGTTAGGCGACTTCGCTGAGATGCAGTTGAGGCGGGCAAGCCAAATTCCTCGAGCTTAAACCCGTGCATGAGGCGTGAGCTTTTTTCCTCTCTTCAATGATGTATTTTGGGATATTGGATCTATTGAATTTTATTGAAATTCTTGACGTGCACAGCACCAGATTAGAGCCACAGTCATAAATAGCTAATTCTGACTTTTATTCTTTGCCATTTTTATTTTTAGTTCGTTACAGTGTTACTGTGTAATTGTGTATCACTGTGATTGATTAGATCCTTAAACCTAATTGCTTAGTCTTTTAGTTATGGATTTCATTGGAATTGTATCCTTTGCTTAGTTCTAGATTGCCAACCAGAAGCATTTAAAAAATCTGGAATAGACCTTGGATGCTACATGATTTTTGTAATGCTTATTTTACAAATTTTAAATATCCTTAGTTTTTTTATTTTTTTGGTGGCTTTTAATTCTTATGAGTTATGCCTCTGGCCCATGTTACGAAAGTTTGCCAATTCTAAATCCGTGCCTCGGCCCTACAAGACCTTAGCATCTTGGTTTGTGTTGCACCTTAAACTGTCTCGCACTAATAACAGCTTAGCAATTGGGCCAGAGGCCTCTATAAGGTTTTTTTTTTTTTAAAATGGTACATGTTACTTGAGCTTTTTTCATGATAACCACCCATTCTCCATTTTTGCATTTTGATATAAAGGTTTTGGTATGGAAAAACATGGTATTTTTAGATTGAGTAGCTCTGGCAGGGGAATGGGGTTGTATTCAGGCAAGAAATAGCAGTTTTAGTGATCTTGAACCACTTGAGGGAGAGGGACCACCAGTTTTCAGTGGGAAAACCAGCAGGTTATTATCATAAACTCTACTTGCGTCTGATAAAGTATTAGGATTTTTTTATGTCAAATACAACTTTTTGACTTTCAAAGCTTCAACTCTGTAATATTAACAAGTTTAGTCAGCTTAAAATCATTGTTGTTTGTAAAATGATTGTCTGTTAGGTGATTGTTCTTTTGTTTTTGTTATTGTTATGTCACTATTACCTTATAAGAAATGATTAGAATATATTGGTTTTTACAAAACAAATATGTTTGAAACTTGATGATGGGGAACCTTTATAATGGAAATTGCTCTACTTGATGAATTACTAATTGAGATCTCTGCAGAGTAGAAAAAGAAATAACACATGCCTAGTGTGGCGTGCTCTATGGGCTTATATATGCATATCCCTTGTTTGCAGGCACGACCATTGTTCAAAGACCGAAGGAAATTCCACCAGATGGCTGACCCAGTGCTTGAAGGTCAATATCCTGTGAGAGGCTTGTACCAAGCTCTTGCAATTGCTGCAATGTGTGTCCAGGAGCAACCTAACATGCGGCCCCTTGTAGGTGATGTTGTTACGGCTTTAAATTACCTCGCCACCCAAAGCTACGATCCCCAAACCGATCCTGTCCAGAGTTCCCGAAGGGGCCCATCTTCTCATAGACCTAAAAGGGGTGATGAGTAGAAATCCATGGCTGGTGATGGGCAGGAAAAATCCAAGTTGGAGGACTAAAATAAGTTGTCAGCACTCTCTGCTATGCCCATAAACATTGTGCCTGCTTATCAGATTTTGTGTCACACATGGTAACAGGTGCTCCATCAACCCATTCTCTCAACGTTCAATATAGTACAGGAAAATTCTGCCTTTTTGTTCCCCATCTTTCGGTGTAAATGTGAGCTGTGGTCCATAATGTTAGATGCTTCTGCATAGGAACAAATATCCCCTTATATTAGTTTAGTCCTCAATAAATACACATTCTCTTTTGCATGATCTTTCACTTTGGCTTAATTTCAACCATAGGGATGGTCCCGATGAACTTGCCTTCTAAGAAATAATTGCTTGTGATATTGATTAAGCATGATTGTGGGAGGCTTTGACTCAGTGATATATGGAGGATCACAGAGCCCCTTATATGACCTGTGATAAGTTGGGGCTTGAGCCCTTGCAGGTGGCACTTTCTCACCTGTCACCAACGAAACTCCATATTGGTGATACAAGGAGAGTACTGAAAGAATACTTTGGGTTGGAAGCCTGCTATAGGTATATGAGTTGGTGCAGGGGGTTAGACAGAAGTTCCTGTATACAACTTTCCGGAAGTTCCTGTATACTAGCAACTATTGCAGCTTTGTGTTTGCTTGCTTTCAATATGTCAGGGGTGATTGTTTTTCGACTTTGGTTCCTCTGTAAAATCAGCCAACTATGTTGGTGCTGAAAGCTTTTTTCATCGTTTTCTCCTCCTGTTGAGCAGGTGTGTTTGACCAGGTGATTTTTTCTTGGGATGCAGATGAATCGAGTAGAGAGCTAAGCAGTGATCAATCCATGTTTGTTTTGATGTTTTATAGGTTTCCATTGAAACTCGAGCGTAGTTTTTCTCTCTTTCCTATCAATCGTAAGCAAGTCTTCAATCAAGTTAATCGTGGGTGAGCTTGAGCATATGATTTTTGTTTTAATGGTTTGAAGATGATCACCCGCTTGTGGAGCAGACTTTGAGAAAGGACCTGGTAGTTTGGTTAAGCATTGCTACAAAAATATGTAAAATAGGTTAATACGAAAGTGGAGTGACATTGGCTAAATACGAGATTTCTCCATCAGACTCGACCTCTGATTGAAAATGCAACTCGGACCCTGTTGTTTCGTAGAGAAAGACCAGAACAACTCCCACATTCTAACTTCAGCATCAGGACAGTAGTGAGGTTGATTACAAAAACAAGTTGTGATAAAAAGGTTCAATGTTACATCTTCTTGTGTCACACTATAACAGTCACAAATTAAAAAAAAACATGGGGAAGAAAACAGTTCTATGAATGAAAAAAAACAAAAAGAAAAAATCTTCAGCTGTTCTTCTACAATTCACTAATTTCACCTTCCCGGCAATTTCCAACCCATATATACAGAGTTGAGTTCTGGCGTGACGGCAAAACTCTACAACAATCCCTCCTTGGTGACTACAATGGAAATGTATAATCACAAGTCAGTACTATTATTGTCTAATAAAACAGAAAAGGGAAGTGAAGTTGACTAAGAAACATAAGTAGATCTGAGAAGAGCATCATCAGTCAGTGTGTTCTGTCTGTGTCTGTACTGTACAGAAACATTTCAATGATAGATTGCTCAAATTGGTTCATGTTAACAAATTAATCTCCTGAGATGGGATTGGCATAAGGGGATCAAAATGATGTGGAAATGTTGTTATATTTTGTGTAGATTGTGTGCAGCATTAGTCTTTTTTTCATCAGGAATGAAACCGAATCATAACTGATTACTCAATGGCAACACAAGGAAGACTAGAAAGGTGAGAGGGGGGCTGTAGTAGCTACACAAAACTGAGTCATTCTTTCTAGAATACTTGCTGGCATGTGAGACGAGACTGGAACCAAGGGCTGCGGCAGGAACTCCACCAACAACAAAACAACAGTTGAAAACTACCAATGTTTTCCTCTGTATTTTTTGGTTTAATTATCAATCATCTACACTTTGTCATAAAACCTCTGCTTATGAACTGAGAAGACCTCATTCTGTACTTTTCGAAGCTATAGTGACATTGGCTAATTGATCTTGAAACATTGTTTTTCAAACATAGGGGCTAATAGCATTATCTATAAACACTTTTTAAGTTTGTGCATCCTCAAATATAAAAGAAAGATAAAGGAATTGTTTTCAATACCTTCTGCCAACGGAGACCATCTGGCCTTTTCAAGACAACAATGGAATTGATCTTTTCAGGTGAGTCTGATTTCCACCGACAATAAGGGTATCGGTCTCTATGGAGAGAGTAAACCCCGAATACCTGCTTCCTACCTTGATCATACTTAGATGAGGTCATGTAGAAAATGAAGGGCTTCTGACATGGTTGTCTGCTCACAGGTCTAGTGTTGAATGCATATGCTGTGTAATCTGCTCTTTTGTACCAATTAAGAAAGGTTCTTGTGGGCATCTCTAGCTCTCTGGGAGAGATCACTCCCCTTATGATTTGGACAACATAGCCCCAAGAAACAGAAATGGACCAGTCCCTCTTCTTGTCGTAACAGATGGATTGCTGAATTATACTAGCTGAGTCGAGCTTGATGGATTCAAATAGGCGTCGGAGGCCTTGAACTCTGGTCATGCCTTGGAATATCGGATCCACCACATCAAGATGATGGAGTGACACCAGTGGAAATACAGGATGGGCTCCCAGAAGGCCTAAGAGGTTCCCATACACATCATACTGCAAAAATCACAAGACATGACAATTATCAATTTTGTGATGACCCAGATTTCATTTCGCATGTTAAAATGCGTGTGAAGTGATAAATGCGTGTAAAGTGGTATATAAATATGAGTTTATATCTTCGTTTCACAATACGAATATGGAGCGTTACAAGGCCACACAATTTGTGCATACCTTAGTGCTCCCCAGTCTGGCAGACCAGTGGGGTGAGGGGAATCATCCCCAA